GAAAATCACCACACCACGGTGTCAAGAGGGCTGAAGCTAACGAAGCCAACATTGGAGGTGAAAACTACCATGCCTCCTTTTTAATTGTCCCATGCTAAGAAGTGAAAACGACTATGAAGGAATTTGAATATACAGACCAGAAGGACAGAAAAATTGAACGTAACTGTACAAGTTCAGGGTAACAAAAGGCGGGTGGTTGAGAGAGATTGACTTACCGGTAACTGCCAGTCGACATCCTTTCATGCTGGTTGATAGGCGTGGCAGTCAGAGAGATGACAGACAACTGGAAACCGACAGCAAAGTCCTTCGGGCCTCGCAACTCAATAAGGAGTTGGTTATCACCGTCATTGTTATTGAGGCTAACCTCATAAGTGGGATTGAGCTCAAAGTTGTTGTGGTTCGGACAGCCAGCAGCGTTGGCATCCTTCCACGCTCCAGTTATCTAAATAAACGTTAAGAGGATGCGGTTGGGGAGAGAGGGGAAGGTGAACACAGGACAAGCACGAAAACTGCTATCAGGACAAGGCTATTTGGCTGCCGACCAAGCTATGTCGAGTGCAACAAGAGCTACTATTCTGCATACCTATAAGGACCCCGTAGCGCCTTCTACTTTAGGCATCATGCCACGCATGAGTTTATTTCTCGGTCCGCCCCCGGGGACAACCAATCAAAGGTTCCGAAAACTGCGTCAACGCTCAACCTCTCATGGTGGCTAGCAAGCACGCGCACGCTGACGCCTGCCTTATCCAATCCGGTCTGCCATATCACCTGGTTGAGGCTGACTCACACACAACTAAGCTGCGATGACTGCCACACTCAGACACCGCCCCGCTCGGGTGCAGACGCACACTCGTTCGAGGGTCAATTTCCTTCTGCCTATTCTCTATGCTCTCTGTACAGAATACACTATTCCTTCCACCTAGCGCCTCATTTCTCTTTCCCACAAGGAATCGAGCCTGAAGATCGCAGAGGTGGGGGTTTTACCCATTGAATTAATCCACTGCGATTAAACACCGATGCTTGTTTTCCCCTGTAAAAACATACAAAGCCTGCATATAACAGTGCGAATACTAGGAAGAGAGTAGCTAAGCATACGGTGGCAATTTGGATTTGCGGAATCTACGTGGTGGACGATATAATTTAAAAATTAAGCAGACTGTTGGGAGGAGTGGTTAGTTCCGTCCCACTTGTGACCAGGCTCAAGACTACAGGCGGTATCGGACGCAGGTGACCGAAGCCGTCAAGCCTGACTCAAATCCTACGGAGTGGGCATGCCGTAAAAGCCACGGAAGGCTGGTACTGCAGCCTGTAGTTACGGATGCCACTAAGGCCCCCCTCCATGTGCAGCATTTTTTATGGGAGCAAAACCCAAATAACGCCTGTCATGGCCTGATCTGGCCCCAGTGTTGGCCTAGCACATTCATCACGCGGTCCGTTTAAGAGGCAAGTCCACCCTAACCTTAATCTACCCCAAGTATTAAATTAAGCCTAGTCAGAAACGCAACCCTAATATAACTTACCTGTTTAAATTAAATAAGCAGACATGTTACGACAACAAAAAAACTGAAGACTGTGTATGAGGTGGTCGCCATTTTTTTCCAGCCAAGAGGAATGGAAGATTATTCAAAAGTAAATGTCATAATATTAAAAGTAAAGTTAGGCAGCAATTCCTGTCAAAGGCTTGCAACCGGTCGGTTTACATAGTTTTTTTCTAATTTAACCAATGGGTGGCGCGCGCCTTATCCCGTCCCGGGGGAGGGACATTGTAAGTACGCATACGTTGTTTTAAAAAGTAAAGGTAATTCAGATTGAGCGTGACAAGTTCTGAAAGTCACCCTGCAGAGACACATTTTTCAGCTGAATTTGCGCCTCGAAGATCCAATGTTACGCCTACTACCAGCGCGGCCGATACTGATCAGCTTTTCTACTTGATAAGGTGGACTAATATCTGGGTGTTCAGCAAGATGACCACATATATCGGGGAAATGTAAGCCCCGTCAGCAGCATTAATAATCCTTAACGTAATCGGCCGAGTAACTGCCACCAGGGTCAGCTGAGGCTTAAGACAATATAGCAATATAAACCGCCTATTTGGAGGTTCACAAATGGGCAAAACAACTCACAGTCTTCGAGCAAGTATAGGGATCCTTTATGGGCGTGAGGGAAATTGGCGCTGTTGAATAGGCGCGTAGGGTATACTGTATAGTCATATTCTTTTCGTACTGAGAGACTACTAGAGTGTAGGTCGCGGTGCCCGGCTCCTGCACCATCTGTATGAGACAATGAGGACTGTTGATGCGAACACTGTCCCTGTAAGGGCCGGGATCATTGGGGTAATAAACCTTGCGGCCAGATATGTCCTTGTACACCACGACAGCAATGAATTCATTGTTGTTGGCAAAGTCGTTCTGCATATGATACAAGATAAGAGAAGGTCAGAGAGAAAGATTTAGGGAGAAGAAGGGGTAAAACAGGAATAAAATGTCGGTCATTTCAGCAACGTGTACCGGGGATCGACAGCTCAACCAAAACAAGCAGAAATACTGGAGCAACACTTCCTAGACAGGCACAGCTACGGTGAAACTCGGCGCACCAAGGGCTGCTTACCGGTAAAAAAGGGCGCCGGAAACTTTTCAGACTACTTAAAAGGATCAAACTGCGACAACAGCTGAGATATTAAAGAAGTAGGAGTGAGTCTGTGGCAGTCCGTGGTCAACCTCACTGCCTGACTCATCGTGTCCTCGTCT